GTATCAGTTACTGGTATCAGTTACTGGAATTGGTTATTGGTATTAGTTATCGGTATCAGTAACCGGTATACCGGTATCAGTTACTTGTATCAGTTACCGGTATTAGTTGCCAGTATCAGTTATCGGCATCATTTACTGCATCATTTCCTGAAATATCCTTGATTCTAGACAAACTCAACACTTATTTGAACAAAAAAATCCTTTTGGAAAGAAATATTTACCAAAAACAGACCAAATGTTTGTATTTGTATTTACTCCTGATTTTATCCAGAACATGATCTGTTCGCTCCATCAGAACTCTTTCAGGGTTTCTCTCTGCTCCAGCTTCTGGCGCCAGGCTCCCATCTGAACGCCGCTCACTGACCAGCACAACCATAAACACACCCGGCTGGTTCTGCTTTGAAAGTTCTTTACCCGTCTGACCAACTCTTACATGCATGAACGACAGAACATGTGATGAATGTATTTGTGCGACCCACTTTGTCATTTGATTTGACTGAGCACTTGTGCACTTTATCTGAACGTCTTATTTATGTTTTTATTTTTAATTTTTTTGCCTGTTATTATCTGTTGCTGTTAACATGTTTACTTGAGTAAAAAACAAAAGTCTGTGGTACAACCAAAAACAAACAAACGCCTTTCTGTTGGAAGGAACGAGAGAAAAGTTTGCCTCCAAAACCATGTTTATTTCGCAGTATTTTTTTATCTTAAATTGTGTTTTTTCGTGTGTCTTTTTAATCAATGCTGTCATAATTTATTCATTTTCATTCTTTTTTATGAATTTTCGTCGCTCTGACCATTTTTACAAGCCAGTATCACTTGTAAACATCCAGTTTTGGAGCCAAATGTTGAGTTTTCTCACATCCAGCCTGACGCGTCTCTAAGCTTTGGACTCACCTCTGTGCTTCTTTTTCCGAAGGTTTTCAGAAACCTTTTTGGGGTTTTTATTTTTCTTCATCTCAGAGTAGCTTTATGGATTCTGCTGCTTTCGTGACTTAGCGGTGCTGTTTTGTCCACACACGTCACAGGTTTTTGCCTATCTTTTAGAAGAAGACGAATGTACCACAGACGGAAAACCGGGACTTTGAAAGAGCCCCAATGAGTGTTAATCCCCTTTAGGAACACAGTTGCTTCTGTGTTTATTTGAAATGGTTTTATAGATGGCAATATTTAAGTGTTATAATTAAAGGAACTGTTTTTTTTTTATTATTATTATTGTTGCGGTGAAAGCCTTGTTTTGATGAGGCGCTGCACATGCCGGACTGTAAGACTGTGGAGGTTTTGGGGGAGTTTTAATAAATAAACACAGTTTTATGTTGCACCAAAGCCATGGTTTGTTGTCTGTTATACTGGGATGGATTGATTTAATATAACGAGCTGTGAAAGTCACAGACTGGCTACATGGAGTAATAGAAGCAACACTGTTAAACGTTTTACGGTCAAGTGTTTCATTCTGTTTTAATGCAAACCGAAAAGGTAAAATGTGCGTCCAGACTGTTAGACACTTTACTTAACTTTTTCTGTAAATATAAAAAAAAGTTTTGTGTTGTGAAAAGAATGAGACCACGATTGTAAAATTCAACTGAAAAATAAAAAGTTTGAAATAAATCAAACACCGGAAATGGCCTGGCTGTGTCAATGGGCCTACTAACAGTTTGTCCGTTTCTTTCACATCATCCTTATATTCCTGCTCTACTTTCAACCGTCAACGTTTTCTTGTCCACCACATTCTTGAGGCAAATGCTACAAAAACTCCATTAAATTTGCCTTATTCCTTTCTATAAACTTTTCTTCTAGTGAAGCCTTTATTTAGTTGATTTGGACGTACCCATCAAAGAGAAATAAAGTCCCTCTTCGTCTCTGGCTTTGGCTTTTAGAAATAACTGCTAATTAAAAATGTTTATAATTCTATCAACCTTGGCAAAGTCTGAAATCCCAGAGCATGATACTGCCACCAACGTGTTATTTTATTTATATAGCCCTTCACAACATGAGTTGACCAAAGTGCTGTATATATAATCAACATGACAGAACACAGAATGAAAGGAAGAAAAGTTCAAAAGAAATTAACATTAAACTATGATGCTGAATGCTAAAAGCCAGTCTGAATAAATAGGTTTTGAAAAACGACAAATTCAGTCAGTAGTCGTAAAAATTTCAAGAGACAATTTACCCAGTAGCCTTTTCCCAGTGATTGAGAAGGCCCGAACTTAACATCATACCTACTGTAGCTCTAGCGACTTCTAGAGCTGCTTTGTGGACCTTAAGGCACAAAAGGTCAGAATGGAGGGAAACTTTAAGCCCGTGAAGAGAAATCAGGGCTGGACTGATGTGCTGAGTTTAGGGAATGTTGGTTAAAAAGCGAGCAGTAGCCTTTTGAACTAACTGAAGATGGTTGATTGCAGAGTGCGCTGCAATAGTTAATTCATCCATCATCTGACACGCTTTTCCCAATTGGGGTCATGGTGCCTATCTCCAGCTGTCAATAGGCCAGAGTCGGGGTACACCCTGGACAGGTTGCCAGTCCATCAAAAGGACAACACAGAGACAAACAGGACATACAATCATTCACTCACAACTAAGGCAAATTTAGAGAAGCCAATTAACCTAACAGTCATGTTTTTGGACTGTAGGAGGAAGCTGAAGGTGCATTCTCAGGGAGAACATGCAAATTCCAGGCCAGGAATTGAACCCAGAACCTTCTTGCTGCAAGGCAGCAGGGCTACTCACCGCACCACTGAGCAGCCCCTGCAAGTAAATTCTCGAGCTCATAAACCATGAATAGATTTCTGTAAGTCTGTATGAAAAAAAAGGGTTTGTCTGTGTGAAAAACATAGTTGATAAAAATTTGTCCTAATGTCAATTGATTTGTAAAATCTCAAACTGCCCTCAAAGAGACTCCAAGGTCATCAGAGTCTATTGGTTGCGCCAAATCTACTTTTTAGATTTTTTGGGGGGCAAAATGCTAAAATTTGGTTTCAATAATTTTTTTTAAAGCTACACTGTGTAATAATTACAGGGATATACAGTCAGAAATGTAATATATTATACATAACTATGTTATTTATCATCATCTA